AGACAGACAGACAGACAGACGGACGGACAGATGGACGGACAGAGACAAGTCCCGTAGTGGTGCCGAGTGGTGCCTGCATACAAATTATGTACAAACATGTTTTCAGAAATGTTCAATTCATTATCGCTAACAAATGCCGATCATGTTGTGTTCAACACACAGTTCAAAGCACTTTTCCAGCAAAAATTATTGCCAGACTGCAAAAATCTGGCCGCAGTGCGAACGTCTGGCAACCACAGCAACAGCAACAGCAAAAGCAACTGCATTTGGAATTGGGTCTGGATAGAGTCTGTTTATCGGGGAATTGGGATTGATGATGGGGCAACTGGCGCTGCTTTGGCTCAACTCGGAAGCTGTTTTCTATCTAAGCACTCGACGCAGTCGACAGTAATTGCTGTTAGGCTAAGTGATATGCCATGTACCATGCACCATGTACCAGCTGCAGAGTTACAGAATCAGCAACTCGGTTCGGGGCCTAATCAGTTTGGACAGACCGACAGACAGACCGACAGACAGACCGACAGACAGACGTACGGCTACAGTCGGCAACAAAAGGCAGCTACCCCAAACACTCTGTTTTTTTTTTGTTGCCCCTGCATCCACTTAATACACAATTTCCGCTTACGATTTGAGGCACTCGAACAAAGCACGGAACGCAACCTGATGAGAGTTTGCGACCCTTTTCCCTATTCGAGTGCGTCGCTGCGTCTGCGCACAAACCCGAATTAAATTACAGAACGTGCTTCATTGAAAAATAAACAACAACAACACAAAAAAGCACATAAAATAAAAATAAATATAGCATGTTAAAGCGTTCTTTAAACAGCTGCCAAACAGCAAGATACCCCGTAAAAGCTGCTAAAGGGACTTTATTGCAAGAGTTGATCAAGTCCCGAGATTTGGCGCTCGTTAAAACTGAGTTTGATGAAAACATCTAGGAAAACAGAATATTTTGCCAAATTCATATTTTGTCCGATTCTTCCTTTAGTGTTTAATAATATCGTAGTGCGATATTGAAAAGATTTGGACCTCCACATGTGAATTACAATATTTCAAATAAACTTTGAACTATTCTTTTAGTAACTATTAAATAACAAGAAATTTTGAAAGCAATTTAAAATAATGTGCAAAAAGAATATTTCTTGTTTCCTTTTTAAAAAATTTCCATCCTTCCATAATACCTTTTTTTTCATCTTTCAATGCATTCGTATTAAAATTCTTGGATATATAAAGTCAGTTATATTTAAATTCATTCAATATTTCAATTCCTTCATCTTTCAATACTTTTGTATTTTAATTATATCAAATTTAAATTCTTTCAATATTTCAATTCTTTCAATATTTCAATTTTCATATTTAATTCCTTCATATTTCAATTTCTTTCCTATTTAAATTCCTTCATATTTAAACTCTTTCATGTTTCTTTCAGAAAGTTTAAAGCTTTGAAAATGGGTTTGATCTGATGTAAGAAGATGGGCTAATATTTCTAAATTATTTCCTTTTTAATCTATTTCCCTGATATCGTAAATGTATTTAATCTAATGTGTCAGGAGCTAACGAAATTCCAAGTGGTTTTCGCTCTTTAATCTTCAATCTCAAGTCATAAACTGTCTAATTCTAGTTTCTAATCCTTCCATAAATGGTTACTTTTAGAGATTTCCAAACTCGGTTCTTAAATCTTAAGTCCCAATTTTTAATCCTCCATAAAGTATTTTTTTATTCCCAGGCATGCTAAGCTGCGAGATATCCTGTAAAAGGTCTGAAGGCGTCTTAAAACCAATGTGCAATGAGCTGACAGCACTTGAAGTGAAAGAAAAACCCTTCTCAATCTTAAGTCTTAAGCTCAGAATTTCTTATTTCTACTTCTTTGAGGTGCGAGAAAGCAAAGTGCGACTCGTGCAGATAATGCCAAGAAGCGAGCAGGTAGATCAGCCAAATATTATTGAGAAATGTTGATGGGATGTTTATAAACTTAATATTAAAATCAAAAACTAATAAAGTTATGAACCAAGAAATCTGTTGGCTGCAGCTCTTGCTAAGCTGATAAATTGACTCTTTTCCAAGAAAAACATTTTTTTTAAATTTTTTCCATCTTTAAACTTCTCTTTTTTATAGGGTATAAGAACGCATCAGAAACAACGGACAGACCAGACGGTTAAGAATCTTTGCGGAGAGTGCATTAAGTTTCATTATTAAGCACACACACACTCACACAACGCACAGCTTGAGAAATTAAAAGGCAATTAACATGCAACAGGCAGCTGCAACTTGGCAGAAGTAGGGGGGGGGGGGGGGGGGGGGGGGTCGGTCAAGAAGGGGCGCCCTCTGCTGCTGCTGCTGCTGCTGTGGCTGCCACGCTGTGGGTTCAGCATATGCCGCAACTTTTTACGGCTTCTCGAAAATCAGCTGCAAATGTGCGTAGTAATTTTTGCTGATTGATTCAAATAAAAAAGAACGTTTGTTCCACACATTGCCCGAGTCAAAGTTGCCGTAGTCGTTGCTCTTGTTGCTGTTGCTGTTGTTGTTGTTGCTGCTGCTTGTTGTATGTAGGTCATGTGGAGCACTTTAGAGACTCCCACAGTCGAATGTGCAACATGTGTTGAGCCAATCGCTTTGGCTGTGGCCTGTGGCCGTGGCTGCGGCTGTGTCTGTGGCCAAATCGAGTGCCACACTGCGTATGCGTAACGCAAATTACCATAAATTACTGTTGAGGCACACTGGCAACAGCTCGTTGTCTGCCGCTCGCTGATAAGCGGCATTTAACACAAATTCGTCAAGAACATATTTTGTAATGGACAAGATTTCGATTCAGATTTAACAAAATTGATTTTTTCTTTCCAAAGTCTGTTTTGAAAGGCAGCCCACACATTGTCTTTGGCTTTGTCATTGAAATCAAGTCAAATCCAAAGCCTATTTACGACTGCTTCGCCTCGCACTTTGCGCTCTCGTCGAGTCTTTTAAGTGAAGGTTCTACAAGCAAAAAAAAAACTAGAATACCTGAGCGTAGGTCGAAGGACGCAACTTGGGCTTTCATTTGGCTTCCGGCCTTTGTAATTGTCATGCAAATATGGCAAGCACACATTCCCAAATACATTGCTAATTGCCTGAGAGTTCAGGGGCGCTCGCCAACAACAGTTATGACAGCTGCTATTTATTATAATTCCCAACTATTGAGTGTGCTAATAATAAACTTGCTTTGCAATTGAGCTTTGACTTCTTGTAAATGATGTTTAAGTTATAAAAGCCAGAAATTACCTCAGACTATAAAAACAAATAAATCGCCTGATTTATGCGCATATAAAGCGTTAAGTAAGTATTATATAGGCACTTTTATAAGTACTTTGCTTGTGCTTTTTCTCTTTTTTTTATTGTAGCAAAAAGGCGATTATTCTTTCTTTTTTATTCAATTCGCTTCACACTGTTAAGGCACACTTTTTGCTTGAACGTTGTTGTTTTTCTTTTATTTATATAAACTTTTATTATTATTGGGCACTACACTGGGACATTTAATTTGTTTGCCAACTGTTGTTATTCCTTGTAAAAAGTGTTGCACATTTCGTTGTCGAGTCGCCGTTGAAAAAACACACGAAATACGAATGCGTTGCACGTTCCGCGCTGCACGTTCGTCTTCGTTTTGGTTTCTGCCGCTCACAAGACTGCGCGCCGCGAATTCAAATCTCAAACTGACAACACGAATCCGAACGAAAACCAATTCGACCTATTCGAAAAATCGAAATTGTTGTTCACTTCGTGCGGCTAGCACGACGCGCAGCTGTCCAATTGGCAAAGCGCATGCTGTTGTACTCAATTTGGCACTGCTATGCTCAGTTTGGCACTGCTAGGCGGCCGTAACATGCGTCTGCACGCTGCTAGCTTTAGGCCTAAATTAACAGCAGCCAGGGCTGCGCTAACAGACGGCGCTTGCTTGAAGATAGGCAGAAAATGTAAAGCTTGTTTGGGATTTACTAACTAATTAGCTAGTTAATTAAATGGAAAAACTATGGAGGTAATGGAGCAATTATGTGAATTGAAATAAAATATAAATATTTTTGAGCTAGCTGCAGAGATATGCACATTAAATGAACTACCCAAAACAAGCTTCGTTTTTTATATAAACTTAAACTTATTTCTCGCTCAACTATAATTGTGTAAAATTGTTTATAATTTTGTGGTATTTTCGCTTCATAAACTAATTTTTTTTATAAGGCTCTTTCGCTAGCGATATGCTGCATTCTGTTCCTGCTGTTCATAAATTATTTATCTTTTTTACAGCCCATTTTTTGGGTCATCTGCTTGCTTTGTTGGCTTTGCAGAAAATAGATCTGCTGAAAGTAGCCATAAAAACTTTGGCTATTGTTCGATTAAATATGCATATGCATAAACCATCCCCAATCCCATTCCCATTCCCGTGCCCATTCCCATTCCCGTTCCCGTTCCCATTCCCATTCCCATTCGCAAACGCCATGCAATTCGCATTTGTTATTTTCATTTCCATAGCTGGGGATCGTTAAATTGCTCATGCGCTAATTTGCGAGCCTGGAGAAACGCACACACTAAATGATAGATCTGTGGCATTCTATCTGGCAATCTGTTGCGATCTCTAGGTAGGGTTCTCAACTGCGGGGGGGGTGTGAAGGAGGAATGTTGGATCTGTGGGGCACTTACCTCGCCAATTTGATGAGTGGCGCGCAGCTTGGCGGCAATTTGCGCAAATTTGCATAGGTATCGCTGCTCGAAACTGGGCAGGCAGCCCTCGAAGGGGCCAAGGAGGAGCTCACGTGCCTGGCGCATTAAAATCGCACGCGTGCGTGCCCAGTAGATGGGATAAATGTGCGACAGATGCCTGTCAATCAGTTCAGCCAGCATGACATCCACAGCCACATCCACGGCCACATCCACGGCCAGCTCCATGTGGATGCCAGCTCCAGTTCCAGTTACAATTGCCTGCTGTGGGCACATTAAGTACGCCCAAAAGGAGAAAAAGGGCCCATGTTAGTGGGCTAACAATTGTTGTTGCTGTTGTTGCCTTTGGCATAGGTTACCTGCTCCTCCTGCACCTCCTGCACCTCTTGCTGCTGCTGTGCCACCCTCGGCTCCTCGTCGGTTTCGCAGTCGCTGCTGTTGGCATCGCTGCTGGACTCCTGCGGCGCGGCTGGCGCTCGACGCAGACTCAAGTCGAGCGGCATGCAGTCGATATATGCGCTGGCTGAATCTCTGCTGCCACAGCTGGAGTCCTCCTCCTCCTCCTCCCCCTCCTCCTGCTCTTGCTCCTTCTCTTCTTTCCTTTTAGCAGCCTGCTCCTCGCACTCTATCTGCACTATTGTGGGTGCTGTTCCTTCGTTCTTGATCATTGTAATTGTTGTTGTTGCAGTTGTTGCTGTTGCTGTTGTTGTTGATGTTGTTGCTGGTCTGCTCTGCTGACCCGTTAGGCGTTGCTTGCATTTCTTCAGATAGCTGCGTACCCGCGACTTGCTGCGGTTCACAGTTGTTGCTGTTGTTGTTGTTGTTGTTGTTGGGCATTGACAGCACACATAATTAGCATTTGGTTTGGCCAGCGCCGACAGCTGCTCCGCCTGCTCCGGCTGCTGCTGCGGCTGCATCGTCTCCAGTTGCGCCTCCTCCTCAGCCTCTTGCAGCTCCTCAACAAACTCGTCGCGCGCTATTGGCGCTGTGTGGCCCGCTCTGGCCTCGTTCATGTCGTTGTTGTTGCTGTTGTTGTTGGCCGTGTCCGTGTCCATGTCCGTGTTCATGTTGTCCATGTCGATGGCCACTGCTAGCGGCGCCGCCGTCGCGGCCTGGCCATCGATTTGAGTGTCACTCAGCACCAAGATCTCGCTTAAATGGCCCTGATCCACTAATTCGGCTCCTGGGTCGCCGTTTGTTGCAGTTGTTGTTGCAGTTGTTGTTGTTGCTGCTGCCTTGTTTGTGTCAGTCTGCATTGGGCGAAAAGACAGCAACAGAAAGAGAATATATATAAATAAAATACAAACAAGCAATGGTAAAGAGTTAATGCATTTTGGGCATAGGACTATTGGACCTTAAGGAACCCTTAAAATAGTATTTAAATTAGCTCGGAATTCGAAATATCCTGTGGGAACTACAATGAAAACTGAATGATCTAACAAATATTTGTTACTTAACACACTAGCAAGAAGTTTAGGGATCGAACCATCTTGAAGAACAAGGGATTCTCTCCCATTAAATAGATAAACTTGAATATTAAGATGAAGAACAAAAAATGTTTTCTCATGAATTAAATGATTTAAGGAGAGGGAAAGAATTGAAAGGTAGAAATAGCGAGAGAAAGAGGCAGGGTGAAAGCTGAGATAAAAGGTAAAAAAAAAAAATAGCAGAAGAGAGATCAAAGAAACAGAACTATTTAGCTAAAACTATTATAATAAGAACTCATTCAAGTTAGCATAACTTGAAATCATGAAAATCGCATAGAAGGGCGTTCGAGTAAGAAATGTAGAGTTCGAGAAAATCAGTGAAACATTTAAAGAGAGAGGAAAATATAGAATAAATTATAGATAGAAACAAAATGAGAGCGCGTGAGCTAGAGAGCGAAAAAGAGAGTCAGAATAAGAGAACTAGTAAGTGAGAAGGAGTGAGACTGAGTTTTTCTTACTCAATTGGAGAATTCAATGAATTTAAGAAAATGCTCTAAGATTTGTTATTATTGTGAGTTTATGACATTTTGAGATTTTAGTGATATGTTTAAAGTGAGAGAGAGTGAAAAGTGAGAGAGAAACAGAATAAATTAAGAGAGATCAAGGAATAGAGAGTGCTAAAGACTTAAAATGATCCCAGGCTAAAATTACAATTGAAAAACACCAAATGTTTAAGAAATAGTTATTTTACTTTATATATGCATATATATATAATAATCTTTTTTTGCTGAGATTTTCCAGTAATATAAATTGCTGCACTTGGCTGGTAAACATGTGTTTACCTAAACTAGGGTGTGCTGCCTATTGGGGGCACAAAAACAAAATAAAAAGGTTCTTCGAACACACACACACACTCGCACACTCGCACACACAGACACAGGGTTGGGTTGCCTGGGGCTACCCGGTGACCGGGTGCATGTTAAAAGTTAAACAAAAAATCAATTGGGGACAACATTGATCCGATTTCACACAGAGCCACAGACAACCGAATGGGCGTGGCATTGCAAGGCATGGACGGGGGGCGGTTGCGCTTAAATAAAATACAAGAAATAAAAACAAATGCAATCGCAGCAGTCGGCAGTTGCAGTTGCAGTTGCAGTCGCATTTGCATTGCATGACAATCAAATGACTTTGGCAGAGCTCAAAACGTCAAATGTTTCGCTTGTCGTTGTTGTTGTTGTTGTTGTTGTTGTTACTGTCATAGGTCAAGTGTAGCACAGTAGAATTCACTTTCTTTTGCACACACTGCGCAAATTTGCGCAGTGAAAGCGGCCAAAAAGTGTCCGCCGCCGCCGCCTCCTTATTGACCATAACACATAACAATGCCACATTGGCTGTGCGCCTCGGATTTGGATTTGTTTTGGGTTTTTGAATTTGAATTTAGCTTTTGGCTAGCTTAAAATTTCGGCTGACAATGTGACACTTTTTGGCTAAGAGGCCGCTTGCCATATAAGCCGCACAGACACGCACATGCAACACTTTTTTTCTGCTGCCGCACACAAAACGCCCACAACACACACCGCACACACACCTGGCACACACACCTAGAGTATTGGCAAACGCGTTGTCCGCTTCGCTTTGTGTTGGCCACTAACTGTTTGCAGTTGGTGTCCTGTGCTTAGTCCTAGCCGGAGCTCTAGACTGGCCGCCAGATGTCGCCAGTGGCATGCCGCATGCGGCATGCGCATGCGCCACAATAAATTGCCAACAGCAGGCGGCTACTTTTGAAGTGCGCCCCAAAAATAAATACCAATAAATATATCAGCGAAAATATTGTACATTTGTGCCAGTTTCAGCTGAGCCACCATTGCCATGGCCACAACAGCAGCAGCAGCAGCGGCGGCAGCGGCATCCAATTTACAGCCGGACGCAGCTCATCAATTAATTAGCCTGGCCCGGGCTGAGACTGGGGCCGCCCGGAGGCGTCTTTATGCGTGCGTGCGTGTCTGCTTGGACTGGGTCTTGGTCTTGGTCTTGGGCAGTGGGTCGCGGCGAGCTGGGGCCAGGTTTTATTGGGCAGAGGCAGGCGAATCAAAGAAAAGTGTTGCGCCCAGCTCCGCAGACAGCTTGGCCATTAAAGGAAGGTCGCTTCAGTGCATCGCGGACCAGTTACTAACCTTGCGGCAGGTTTGGAATTGCTTTGCATTTGATGCACACACAAACACACACACACACACACACACACATATTTGTTTATATTAAATAGCTGCCAGACATTGGCTTCTCACGCGTGTCCAGTTACCCGGCTGACCCACATCGGAAATCAAAAGCCCAAATCTCAGCTGGAAAATGAATTTCCTATGCGAGCTGCTTGTCACATTTGTGCTAATCAAAACATTATGACTGCGTTTTCTTTTATTAATTGGACAAGCCGATTGCCGCCGCCAGCATCCAGGTCTTCCTCCACTCGGCAACCTAGACACCTGCCCACCAAAAACAAATTAAATTTATTGCGTGTGATTTTGATAGTGGCAAAAGACAAGCGGTATACACGAAAATATTGCGTCAGTAACTAATTTGTTAGCGGCTGGCTAACGGGGCGCCACGTACGAGTGTGTGTGTGTGTGCGAGTGTGTGTGTGTGCGAGTGTGCGAGTGTGTGTGGACATTGAATGTGGCCAAGTGGTTGCGTTGGCGGTGCAAATTGCAATTGCGCCCTCGCCACAAATGGAGTCGCATTGGAGACACATTCAACTGCCTCTGTATGTGCGTGTGTGTGTGCGCGTGTGCGTGTGTGTGTGTGTGTGTGCGTGGGTGGCCACTGCAACTGCTCCCGCTCCCCAAATTAAGCGACAGCCGCAGCCAAAAGAAATTGAAAATAACTTGAGTCCACAACTCGGACTCCAACTCCAACTCGGACGCCTTCCACAGACTGCGTTAATGGCTTGGCCTAACCTCTGACTGGCCCCCCTTCCCAACCCCCTCCCCTTCCCCTACCCCTCTGCAAACGAGAGAGAAACGAATTGGTCGAGTCGCTGGGGATCGTTGTTGTAAATGGAAATGATGTGAGAAAACCCATTTGCATGCTAAGCAGTTACACAAAAAATCAAAAAACTGTAAAATCAAAACAATCAAGAAATAAAATAAAAATGAACGCAATATCGTGTGACAAGTGACATGGTGTCAACGAATGCCGTATACCCTGCAAAGTGCGGGCTAACGATTGCATGACGCGCATTTTAAGTGGCCCAAAGCAGATAGAGATTCAATTTAAATCGATTCAATTTAAATCGATTGGCCAAGAGTGCAGCCAAAATGACTTAAAGGAAATATAACAATAATAATAAAGATAGTGTGAAGTTGGCGCTCACTGCGAGGGTCAACATTTATGGCAACTGCGGCTTAATTGGTTCACATAATAAAATTAATCAAAATAATAATAATAAAAATAATAAAGATAATTCAACGAGAAAGTAGTTTTATGTTCGACACGCCGAAGATTTAATACCTTTTTAAACATTTCCCTTTGTAAGAATAGTCAAGCACGCAAAACTTGATTTTGATGAAGAAAAAAGAACTTGCTTTTCCGTCGATTATTCCTATAGCAGCTACATGATATAGTGGTCCGATCCGGTCAGTTTCGACATACCTACAAAGGCCTACCTAGGCAGAGTTTCAAGGCAAAAGCTGCAAAACTGAGAGTCTAGTTCGCATAGAAACAGACAGACGGAAAGATGAACAGAGGGGCAGTCGGACGGACGGACACACAGTCATGGCTTTATCAACTATTACTAAAAGTAATAATTAATAAATTATTTAAAAATCATCATAGCTAACAAAGATTATATTATAATTTGTACTTAAGAATACTTATTGATATACTACCATTTTTCCTTTTAGCTGTAGACTCAAACGTAGACAAAAAAAGGGACTAAATGCTTTAATAACAAAATGGTATTAATTCCATGCTGGTAAAGCTGGATAGTTGTCGTGCTCGAATTGGATTACTTATTATTTTATTAAGATACGATTTAAAAAATCAGAAAATATATTAAAGAAAAATTTAAAGCAGTTACAGGCCCAAAGTATGAACAACTTTGAGCCCAAAACATTGCACTTATCTAACCATATTTGGCAGTTGCCAAAATTGGATAGAGAACTAATTTAGCCCGCATTTTGTATATGAAAATATTCACAGCTGGCAATATTTTCAGTACAACGGGCAGTTGTAAATTACAAATTGAATTGTTTAGCGACAATTTGAAGATATGGCAAAGATTTAAAATAAAAGCTAGCTAGAAGGATGTGTCTTACGAGCCGAAACTAAAGGCAGGAAGCTGGTTCGAACTCTGAACTAGAACAGAGCAGCTTTGTTTTATAATGATAATCGATTGGTTTTGTCAGAGCTATATAGAAAGGCTTTTGAGCCGACTTTTATGTATGGACTGCCTGCAGCTTAAAGTAGACAAGATGAGATGAAGAAAGAAAGCTGGAAGAGCATAAGGAAGAGTATATCGACTTCTCTGTGGATGCTGATCGGCAATTAATGCTCTACTGGGAGGTCTACTTCCATAATCATTCCATAATCATTTCATGCCAAATTAAGGTATCTCATATTTATAGCTAGCACTTCAATTAAAAGCTGATTACTTTTTGCTCATTCTGCAGTCGCAACTCGGGTTACATTTTAATATAGATATGTCTGCATATACGATACGATACGATATGATATAATGCGCTTATGATTTTTTTGAGCGCAGTTCTTCATTCATTTCCTTGTGCCGTGCAGCTTATCAGTGGCGCCTTTTCCGGCTTTTGCCCT